TCCTGCCGCAGGCCCTGGCAAAAGAAGAAGACAGCGGGAGGGAAATGAAGAGAAAAACAATGCAGGCAAGAGGAATAAGATAAATGAATACGATGAGGAAGAATCAAGGGCACGGAAGACATTCGAAATTCGCTGGCCACGCGGCATTCACACGAACGCCCGAGCCACATGATCGATTGGCGTGCGCATATAAAAAAAAATGAAGAACGAAGACGCAAATCCACGCTGAATTCACTCTTAGCACCGGCGAAACCAAATAGTGGGAGCAGCAGCGGCAAGGGAGACGGAACTAGAGTCGGAAGATGAGCTGCTAGACGAATTAGAGGAGCTGCCTGAACTACTACTTCTACTACTACTACTACTACTACTACTACTACTACTACTACTACTACTACTACGACTACGACTACGACTACGACTACGACTACGACTACGACTACGACTACGACTACGACTACGACTACGACTACGACTACGACTACAACTACGACTACTACTACTACTACTACTACTACTACTACTACTACTACTACTACTACTACTACGACTACTACTATTACTATCAGAGTCGCTGCTACTATACGAATTAGGTATACAATCTAACCAGGGCTCTCGGTCAGACTCACAATCATGGCCATCTTGGGACGCTTCAAAAGGGACGCCTGAGAGCCACTTTCGCTGCCTCGATCAGCGCATCTGCATGGGCCTCCAGCCCAAACTCAGGAAGGACCGCGCTCTCCAAGTCCACGTGAATCTCGTCCGAGACGTCACTCGGCGTGAGGTGAGCAACGCGCGCTTGGTCCTCCTGGCTGCGAAGCACGTAGATGTCGCCGCCTAGGCCGTTCGAGCCGATCGTGAAGTCAGTGGCGTGAAAGATGGCCTCGATCTTGTCACACATCTTGCCCATCGCCGAGAGTAAGCGCCGGCTGCGAAGATCCAGAGCACGACGAAGTTTGAAAGAAAAACGCCTCCACGTGGGTCGGGAAACGTGGTGAGAGCGTCGAAGTTGCTGAGGCAGTTGCTGGCCTGTGAGGCGTCGCCGAACTCGAAGATAGCCTTGCGATTCATGTCGAAAGCTTTGATGATGCACTGCGAGTGGCTACCCTGCGGCATGGCCTGCAAGCGAACCTGCTCAGCAGCGCGGCGCAACGTACTGGCCATCATCGGCCGTGGAAAGCCCAAGAGCACCAGCCTGCATGCACCCTCCTGCTGTGAAACCGAACGTGAAGATGACAACCGCGTAGATCCTGAAGCCGTCGCCGAGCGTGATGATGAAGGGCCGAGAACCCGCTGCCGACGATGTGGTAGCTGCTCATGGTCCTGCACGTGGTACTGCGCGGTGAAGTTTCTCCATCGTCTCCTGAATCTTGATGATGGTTGCCTCGAGCTGCTGAATATTCTGGGTGCGCTGCGACGTGAAGTGCGCCGCGCCCATGGAGTCATCAGCCTCATTCTGAATCACCTCCGCGCGAGCCTCCAGGATGTCAAAACGAGCCGCTGCCGAACTGATGTCAGAGTTCATCTGCTCGACGTTGTGGTTGACAGACTGCTGCATCTCTCTCATGCGAGTGTTCATGCCAGTCAGGCCATTGAGCAGATGCTGTGCCCACACGGGAGTGGCCTCGCCAGCTCCAGCCATGGCTGCGGGGCTGCGAGTGCGGGAAGAGACAGAGTGCTGCCGAGCGAGAAGGAGGACGGGTGACCTGCTTGACCCAGAAGTTGCAAACCGCCAAATCTAATCGCTACACCTCGGGCGTCTATAGCCCTTTCGTAACGTTTAGCCTTGAACCAAAATGGCTACGGATGATGATGGTGATAATGATGATAATGATGATGATGATGATGATGATGATGATGATGATGATGATGATGATGGTGATGGTGATGGTGATGGTGATGATGATGCTGATGATGCAGCAGCAGAAACTGGTGGTGCTGCTGCTGTTGACGATGAAGATGACGACGATGACGATGACGATGATGATGCTGCTGATAATGGTGGTGGTGATGATGATGCTGCTGATAGTGCTGATGATGATGACGATGATGACGCTGGTAATGATCATGCTGGTGATGATGATGGACTGGTAATGACGACGAAGATGTCGATAGTGATGACGATGATGATGATGAGCAGGAGGAGGAGGACATGCTGAAGGCAGGGGCAAGGGTGGGAGGAGGGAGAAGGAAGAGGAGGAGGAGGATAGGGAGGAAGGAAAGGAGGACGCGGGGAGCTCTCTTCAAAACATTCAAAACGAGGACCCAACACCACAGGATGGTTGGGAAAAGCGAGGGATGAACTGTCTCTTGCGAAGTGTCGAGAGGTCCAGAAGCCAGCGACTCGACAAAAACCATGCCGCCGATCGGATGTCTGAATGTGTGGTGCGCCCGGTTGACTGTACAAGACTGTGGCATAGTTGCCCCAGATGGAAGATATGAGCCACCCTGTCGGAAGGACTTCGTTATGTTACAATCGTCCAGGGTAATCCGCTCCTCAGGGGCTGACCTGGACGTAGATGCTCCAAAATTGGATCGGCCGATCTCACATGACGACCGGATGAGAAGATACACAGGAATAACCTATGCCTAATCAACCTGTCAGCTCGGCCGGTGGAAACGCCGTCTCGGCCCCCGAGTGAAACGAACTTTGAAACTGACATCTTGCCTCAATCTGTCCATTGGAGATCCTGCGCCTCCCAAGAATCATTCTTTTGTTCGACAACATCCGTCGCTCACCGTTGTCGTCATGCGCTCCGCAACAATATCACAGCCGTCTTCTGGAATACACGCACACACACACACTTTTCCGCGCCCTGTGCTCTCCTCGGCCTGGTCTTTAGCTCCACTGCAAACGTATGGTTAGGTCAGGCATGTCCCCCTACAGGCGGATTTTGGGCGAACAAGTAAAACAAATCTGAAAAAATCAAAACATACCCCAAAATGGTAGAAACATCGTCCCCTGACGATTGTTTGACTATTTTTGTATAGTCCCCCTGCAGAGGGACACGCCCGACTTAAACGTACGAGACTCCAATTCTCGAATGGCTGGGCTACACCGAACGACGCGAGCGAACCCGCGACCGTGCTCCGATGACCAAGAAATCAAAAACGGCAACGCAACCAAGATACAACATTGCCTACCTGGAAGAGGAGCCAGCCACGTATTGGATATGACAATGGACCCACACACCCGGCGACTTGTTCTTTCATCAAATCTCGGATCCTGAGACCTTCGATCATTTCCCTGCGACCGGATCTTCATCTGGCGCCGGGTTTAGCGCCCCAGGCCCCCAAGAACCAGAAACGGCCTCCGAACGTCAAACCGATGGGAAACACACAAGCGCGATCTGTTCGAGTCGCCAACAAGATTTCAGGATGATGCTCCAGATGTTGACCTGGCTTGCCAGGCGGTCCGAATGCACCCCAACGCCGCCCCTGAAGCAAGGCGTGGTCCAGGGATCCCGGCGGGTGCGACCCCCGACGCAGCGCGACACAGAGTACCGACGCCACACCTCATTCCGACATACCGATACCGCCACCGATACGAACCAGGCGCAGCGACGAGGGCCCCTAGCCCACGGTGCGAAAGCGAGGGGAGGCTGCGGGCATTGGTACCCGCGACGCTTCAACGTGCGCATGTGTCTGCGCCCCCTGTTAAAACTCGAAGGGCGGCCCAACTAGCAGAGACGCTCGCGCCGGGCTCGGTGGATATTTTGCGAGCGAACATAATCCAACGTTGTACGGACATGCCCGCGATGCCCAGAAACTACCGCAATGTCCAAACCGGACAAGGGCGCAGAAGTTGAACAGGGACCGAGCGTCCTGGCATACTTATAGGCCCGACATGTTCTTAGATCCATATGATGCCCTAAGAACAAGAATCATGTTCTTAGAAAATAAAAACCCGACGTGCTAAAACAAGGCAGCCTCAGCCAGATCTGTTCCAAGAAAATGTCTTGCAAACCACGAAGGGTTCTGGGAACTTTATCTGGCTTGCCTGTAGGCAAGCCATGACATGACGCTTCGCCACTGCTTGACGAAAGGGGTCATTCGCGGCGGGCTCCAGAGCACCCGTGAACGGATTCCCGCTGCGGCGCCGCGGAGCCTGGGGGCCGGCCCAAGACGCCAGGAACAGAGAAGCACGCGCAAGGCTTTCGCACAACGATAGCACGATCGCACTCTCGGTCTGAGCGCTGCCCGAGACGACCCAGCATGCCCCCCAAGACCGCCCCGAGACGGCCCCCAAGGTCCCCAAGCGGGCCGAAGAGGCCCCCAAGACGGCCCACAGAAAAGCCTAAGAGGGAGCACGCAAACTTACATGCCGAGTCCTTTCTCCCAAGATTGCCCTCGAGACCGCAAGGCCCCAAAGAGACCCCCAGGAGGTTCCTAAGAGGCCCCGCAGCAGACCCCCGGAGAGGCCTCCAGGAGGCCTTAAGAGGCCACCAGAGGGCCCCAAGAAGCCTCTCAAGAGCACGCGATGGGCTTCTCTGAGAGGCCCCTTGTCCACGACACAGACACAAGGGTGAGATGGGATGAGTGCCACGATTGACGATTCGAGATGCAGGAGACAAATGGGAAATGATGATGCTATGCTGCTGCTGCTGCTGCTGATGATGATGATCATGCTGATGCTGATGATGATGCTGATGATGATGCTGTTGGTGTTGATTATGATGCTGATGCTGATTATGATGCTATGGGATGATAATGATGATAATGATACTGGTAATGATAATGATGATGATGACGATGACGATGATGATGATGATGCTGATGCTGATGCTGATGATGCTGATGCTGATGCTGATGCTGCTGCTGATGATGCTGCTGCTGATGATGTTGATGTTGATGTTGATGATGATGATGCTGATGCTGATGCTGCTGGTGATGATGATGATGATGATGATGATGATGATGATGATGATGATGATGATGATGATGATGATAGGCGATGGCGATGCCAACAATGAACAACCTGATCCCATGGGGCCGCCCCCCGCCTGCGGCGATCCACCTTCGCGGTGGCCGGGTGCAAAGGCAACTCGCTCCGAGCGTGGACCCTGCACACGCCCCCAGCTGCTCGCCTGGCCGCATCGCGCGCGCGGCGTCAGGCTGGCATCATCACTGACCATCTACGTGGCCAGGTCATGACCAAAAGGGAAAGATGGGGGAGGAAAAAGAGCACGAGCAGCTTGCCAGGACAGGACGTGCAGGAGATCGCCAGCTGCACACCAACACTGGAGTTGGCCAGCCCCGTGCTCAACGAATACTGGAACGCACGCGCCACATCACATGGACAGAAACATACGGAATAGCGTACAAGCCTGGCATGACCATTGCTGGATTAGTGGTGGAGCAAAACGGCGCACAAGACTCCTCCAGAAGCAGCTTGTAAAGCGCAGTCGACGTACCGAGAGCAAGCCTGCTGCTTGAGCACGTCTGCTACATGAAAGTGCAGCTGATGGCCACTCGAACCGAGGAATGACGAGAAGGCCCCATGAGCCAACCATCCTAACGTCCGCACATGAAGTCCCCAGTAAAAAGCTTTGGAGCACGCACTGCCCACGAATGACATTTAAGCCCCGCCGATGCCCCACGAATGGCCAACTGCTGATACGAACGGCCCCACGAGTCCAATAGCTGCGTCACATTCAACTTAGGCGACCGAATGTGGACCCTACCCCTGCGAGTTCGTTTCTTAAATAGCGAGCTGCGAAGGTTCAGACTTCAGACATTGGAAGATGCCTGCTGGAGGATGAGTCCCAATGAAGGGGGGATGCCTCAATGTCTTTCGGCTGGAGGGGGGGGAACGTACGGCTCGCATGCGATTTGAGCGTTGCTCGTGCTGGTCGCCCAACACGTTTTCCGCAAGCGGGCACGTCAAGGCGCTTGCACGTCAACACCGAACGCCCGAGAACCGAGAGAAAACGACGCATTACAAGTCGCGAATAGTAGCACGTACCAACGGCTTGTCATGAATCAGAATATTGAGCCACCTGCTTCTGTCCAATCCGTTACGGCTGCTTGCCACACATGAAAGCACTGCGTGGCCCACATGACATCATCGGTGGCTTCTTCACGCGCACGTGTTTTCAACACATTCCTGGAAACCTGCCGCATATCGCAACTCGCAATCTCAATACCGTTAACGCCGGCGTCAACAAGCAGATCAAGGGCTCGCCTCACATCGTCAAGCACCTGATCAGTGCTGAATCTCCCTCTCTCTCTCTCCCTCTCTCTCCCTCTCCCTCTCACACCCCCCACCATACAATTCCCACACTTACTGTCTTATTGAAGGTAATAAATAGAACCGCTTCAAGGATAACGGTCCAGCATCGGCGAAACAAATGGTGGCATCCAATCAAGCGTTCTGCAAACCACACGCGCAACGCGCAGGGCCGAGCCTGAGATCCCACGGACTCGACCTCGGCAGACTTCTGAGCCGAGCCCGTGAGAATGGCAGCGCAGCGCGCCTACGTTGATCGAGCCTCGGCTCCCTCGAATGCTGCCTGCAAATCTCCTGCTGCCGAGGCTCTGCCAACACGCCCCACGGAGAACGGCGACCGAGGGGAGGAGGGAGCTGTCCTGAAGGGGGCCCAACTGGAAGGCGTATTTGGACGTGGGCCAGGGTCAAGCGTCAAGTTGGGCCTGTTCCCCTACAGGGGGATTTTGGCCGACAAATTGTAAAAATACCCCAAACATATTCCCAGAATGCTACAACATAGTCAAAAAAGAGTCCCCAGACTGTGTTTTGACTACCTTTCAATATTCCTCCTGTAGAGGGACAGGCCCGACTTCAGTCCAGCGCTGAAAACCCCGAGCGCTCGACAGCGAAGGCACAAGCGGGGACCGGACGAGGGCCCGAGGGACGAGCGAGGCGAGAGCCACGGAGGCCATCGCTTCTCCGATCCCCATCCCCGGCGGCGCGGTCTGAGTCCCACTGGCCGATTAAACCCCCTGGCTGGGGATACAGGCCGCTCCACTCGGGCTTCGAGGGGGGTATCCCCAACTGGAGGGGCAATTTGGTGGGGGTCTCCAAGGGGATGGGGATGGGGATGGAGATGGGGATCTGTGAAACGGCACCGACGCACGGCGGAAAGTTACCACGAACGAGACAGCCGAGGCCCGAAAGCTCGAGGGGACAGAGCAAAGAAGCGCAAGTCCCACAGAAAGAGCCGGCAAGCTTAAGCATTCCAGCCTCCGTCCAAGATCAGAGGCAGGCTGCAAGGAAGAGGTCAGCATCAGCACTCGAGTGCTGTCTGTTACACAACACAGATGAACCCACTTAATTGTAGCCTTCGCTGCACCTGCATGCGAACCATCCTCATCGTCTTCCTCCTCCTCCTCCTCCACCTCACCGCCTACACAAACAACACTGAGTACGACGGGGGGAGGAGGAGGAGAGCAGAGGAGACAAAACCCATATCTCTAACTGAGCTTATACCTGCCAATGCCGCCATCGAGGGAACTCAGTATCGTTTAATCGATCCCCTTCCCCATCCTCATCCCCCAGGAGACAACCACCAAAGTATCCCCCTAGTTAGGGATACACCCTTCGAAACCCGAAGGGAACGGCCTATATCCCCATCTAGGGGGGTAAATCGGCCAGTGGGGTCCAGGCCACGCCGCTGGGGATACGGATCGGATAAACGATGCTCAGGAACGAGCTTCGTCAGCACAGAACTCTAAACGGAGGAGGAGCCTGGAGAGGGGGGGGCGCCTCCTGCTCCTTCCACCTGCCCCGTCCTTCTGTCTTCTTCCTCCGGTGTGCAGTCGTCCAACTGCCCTGCTCGATGGCGCACCCCGCACAAGGTCTTCTCCCCCGACCACGGCTCGAAACTCACAAAGATATCGACCTGCCGCACGGGCAACCCTCGCTCTCCACCCACGACATTAGAAGGAAGAATGCGATGCACAAACACCGATCCTGGTCAAGCCCATCATGGGCCCAAGCGCGGTGAATACTTCCTTTTGTCTTGGCCAGGGAGGCAGATACGCATGCGTCCTGTGAGCGAGATTCGGCATGGCCAGAATCGGTAATTATATGTGTGTGTGTGTACATGCTCGTTGCCTGATACATCATGCGTCGTGAATGCATCAGCGTCATGCGGAAACCACGGCTGGAGCTCTCGATCCCATGTTATGGTGATTGCTGATTCGTGTCGAATGAATACTTGCAGGCCATGGGCCGTCGCTGACTTTTCACGACGTCTGGATACCAATGCCGCTCAAGCGCAACGGGGTGCTACAGCCAAGGCCGCTCCGGCGGGCCACCCACTTCAAGTAACCGAGACCAACGTCGCACTCGACGCCACCACCAGGCCCTCGGGGGCCATCGAGAAATGAGGAGAGCGAATGGAGCTTCTCGAGGCCGACAATACCCCTCACACATACATCTCCAACGCTCGCTCGATCTTCCGATAACGCCCGCCCCCCGCGGAGAAATGCGCCGCGCAGCAGCGCCGAGGCCAAACTGGGAAGCGCCCGGCGCGCGCGCCTGGCCACGCCACACGGGGCCCCAGTCCACTGCGAAAAGAGGGGGGGGCGCATCGCAGCTTCCAAAATTCCTTGCGAACGCCAGGCCTCAGGTCGACAACCTCACTCTTGTTTTTCTCGAAATACGCCTAGACGTCATCTTGAAAACTGGAGAATTCCCTGCGAGTAATGCGGCCCAATGAACGTGCCCAACAACAACCTGTAGATGGGGCCCAGCGCGACCGCGCCGGAGGATGTTTTCGAGGGCAAGCCGCAGCCTCCAGGGGCCGCGCCGTCGGATAGAGCCTCTGCCACGAACTGAGTTCCAGTCCGAAGAAGGACGCATCTTTCCAGGCGGATCCCAGCTCGTGGGCGACGAGGCCCTTTTGGCTTCCAGGGAGGAGCGAGTTTGGGACACTGCCGTGTTGACGGCGTCGGGGTCCTGGCCGAAAACGACGAAGTTTCGACGTGACCTGCGACGCGCGCCCCCGTGCAATCGTCAAGTGGGGATGCCCGCCTACCGTCCGCGATGAGGTTCGACCCGTCGATGCCGGCGTTGCCCGGGGCATTTAGCAGCGCGGGCCGGGCGATGCGCGTGGCCCAACTCCACCAAATCGGCAGGATTGCGAGGGCAGGTTCGAGCGCAGTCCTTGGACACATCTCGTGGCCTTCAACCCCCGCAAGCCCGGCAACCCCGGCATCGACGAGGGGAAGGGCCAGAAAATCCCGAAGCTCTGCCGGCAGGGCCATGCAATAAAAAATTGCACGCGTCACCCAGCCCGGCAAAAACGTCGGACCCTGAAGACTGAATAGACCCAAGGGCCGCGGCCGCGGGAGACGCGCGGCAGGAGGGGGGGTCGAAAGACAAATGGCAGCGCGGGAACCGCAGATAATCCCGAGCTTGCAATAATTTTGCGCAGCGAGGAAAACGCCAACATTACTGGGGCGGCCCGCGGCAAGCCCTATGGCGGCCACCCCCTGGCCCCCCGTGGCAAGCTCCACGGCGGCCATCCAAAGCAGCGCGCCGAACGCGGGACGAGCTTAAAAGCGGGCCCACGCACGGCCCCAAGGGACAAGCTTCTCGAAGCAAATTCAAAGCCTTGCCAGAGGGCCTTAGCACGTTCTCCTGGGAACGGCAGATCCACTCGGAATCGCCTGGGCTGCGGGGGCAGCTCGGGGAGGCCAGGCGGGCCCCCTCGCCTGGCCAGGAAACGAGATCCCTGGATAACGGTCGCCCAGTGGCCCCTGCTGAGTCGTGCAAACTACTGGCGGCGCAGAGTTCACTGAGGGCTCCCGCGCCAGGAAAAATGTCAGGAAGCTGGGGGCCCACTCGACGATGCTGTCCACCCGCGCTCTCGAGGGCAATCCTTTGTCGCGCGGTGGGATTCGCAGCGCAGCTGGCAGGCCCGAAAAAATAAGCGCCGCTGAGGAAAGAGGTAGCATCGCCGGGCCAGTCCACGGAACGCTCAACCCACGATGGCGTCGGAGGACGCTCCTACTCACGAGGGCGGAACCGCGGGCGGGCCCGGAAGAAAAAGGGAGGAGACGAGGAAACACCTCTCTGGCATGCACAGAGGCAGCGCCAATAATTGTCATTCCCAACCGAGGCACAGCGGTCGAAAAGACCCACTCGTCTGGTCGCCCAACGCCGGTGCCCTCGCGCCGACGTCGGCGGGGGAGTTCACCCCTGCTCTTCCTTCCCTCCCTTCATGAGGTTGCGCGGCTGGCGGTTCGTGTTCCGCAACTCCCGCGCCTTGTACCTCTCCAACATCACCGAGACTTCCTTAGCGAACTCCTGCGCGGCCTGGTCCTGGAGCTCGGGGGCCGCGCAGACATTCCCCTGGCGAGGTCCGATCCCAAGAAATTTTGAGCGTCGACCTTGTCCTCGACGTCAATGATGCGACCTCGGTGCCGCCCCTCTTGCGCCTGAATAGACCGGCCTGGCATCTCAAACGACGCAACCAACCTCCGCGATACTCAGCCGGTCGTAGCAGGCAACCGTTTCCAAAGCCGTGCACGCGCGGAGGTGCTTCTCCACTCCAGGCTCCGATCCGCTCAGGCAAGCCTCCGCCTTCCAGCGGCCGCACCTTGCCACGGCCCGCCGTTGGCGGCGATCAGCTTGCTCGCCCGCTGAAGAGTCCTGGGCCCGCGGGCGGGCCAATCTGCGAACGGCGTGGCCGTGAACGTGGAGGCGGCAGCTCTGAACTCGCGGTAGCGGATGCCCTGCGACATGCGAGTCGACCCCGACGGGCTGCGCCCCCAGGTCGAAAACCGCAACACCAGCAGCGCCTCCGCCCGCGGGCGCGCCGGGCGCGGCCTCGGGGCGCGCCCGCGGCGGGGCCTCCCGCGGGCCCTGCCGCGAGGGGGCGGCGGCCGTTGCGCCGCCCGCGGCGGCTCCATCGGCACCTTCACCGGCGGCGGGGCCAGCGGCTGCGGCGCCGGCGGCGGCCGCAGCCACCCAGGCGCTGGCGGGCGCCGCCGCAGCGGCGGGCGCGGGCGCGGCGGCGGGCGGCATCAGGGCGCCCGCGAGGGCGCCGGCAGCGGCGGGCCCACCGAGGGAAGCAGCCAAGGGCGGCGAGCCCTCCACCGGCAGGCGCGGCGGCCGCAGCGGGCGGCGGGCCAGGCTTGAAGACCGCGGCCCTCTCGTGCCACAAAACTGGCCCAGGCGCGTAGCATTGTAGCGAACAGTGAAGAAGTCGCCATCGTCGACGCCCCCCGCCGACACGGTGGCCCCGGCGCCGACCGAGAGCGGACGCCCGGGCACGTTCAGAGAGAAGGCCCTTGCCAGCACCGCGAAGCCCAGGCGCGCGGGGCCAGCAGCCCGCGCGCCCGCCAGCCGATCTGGCAAGGGCAAGGCGCGGAAACGATGCAATGGGACCGAGGCCGCCGCGCCGCTGATCAACGGCGGCGCGCCGTCCTGCACGCCGCGGGGCAAGCGCGCCGCCTCGACGATGTCAGCAGCCGCGGAGGCGTCCTCGTCGCAGTCGTCGTCATCGGGGACGAGGATGGCGTGCGCCCCCGGGACGGCCGCCGCGGTCGCCATCGCGGGCTGGGGGGGCCCCCGGCGCTCCGCCGATTCAGCGCGAGCGCCTCCAGCTGCAGTCGGGGTCGGCGCCGCCTCGATTTCCTCCGCCGCCGCAGCCCGAGCGGCTCGCGGCGCGCGCCGGGCCGCGAAGGCCCCCGCAAGGGGGGGGCACACAGGAGCGCACCGGGAGCGACCGCCACAGCGCCGACCCGAGCAGCGACGAATCGTTTACCCCCCGCTTGATCACGTCGCCGCAGGTCACCGTCGGGCGGTCCGCAGTCGCAGTTGACGCCCGGCAGCCGGGGCAGGGGGCGCGGATGGCCAAGGAGAGGACGGCGGCCGAAGTGGAAGTGATGATCGAGAGTTGGCCACCCCCTCGAGAATCACCTTGCCCCCCCCCCAGATGGGCATTAAGGGGGAGAGCTTGAACCAGGAACCAAAATGTGGCACGCTCGGCAGTTGGCTATTGCTTCTACTTTGAAAAAGAGGACATATGAATGTGTTTGTAAGGTATATACCCCTAAACGCATGTAGACTCACGCACAAATCGCGGCCCCGCATTCGAGCGCCCGTGCGCGGGATCATCGCTGATGCCCCCGCCGACGCGACGCAGTTTCCCAGCTGCTGGTACTCCTCATCTTTCGACCGTCGCATTATTTGGTCTTTGGTCGTCGTCCAGTGCGCGTCGGTCGCCCCGCCTCAACGTCGCCGTTGCCGCCGCGCACACCCGGCGAGCGCCAGCGCCCGGGGAGACAATAAGCCCGTCGCCAGCGAAAACCCACCGGGGCTGGGCTCGCCCCCGGATGGTGGCGCCGCCCGAGCGTCGTCTGGCGCTGGGTTGACGATCGGGCGCGCCGCCGCCCACGGGGCGCCCCCCCCCGCCCTCCCCCACGCAGCGGTGGCCAATGTTTCTCCTCCGAGATGCGGGGGGCGGGGGGCGCGAGAGCGAGGGGGCGAGGCCTCGGAGAAGCGAAGGGGAGGGGGGTGAGCAGACGGAACAAAAGGGGGCGGGGGCCACGGGTCGAGGGAGGGGGATAAGGGGGGAGGAAATTGGGAGGAACGACGGGGGGACCGGGAGGAGAGACGAGGCTCTCGCCAGGGGAGGGGGGGGGAGAGAGAGAGAGAGAGAGAGAGAGAGAGAGAGAGAGAGAAAGAGAGAGAGAGAGAGAGAGTAAAAAAAAAAGAAAAGAGAGAGAGAGAGAGAGAGAGAGAGACCCAAAGAGAGAAAGAGAGAGAGAGATAGAGAGAGAGAGAGAGAGAAATAAAAAAGAGAGAGAGAGAGAGAGAGGCGCGGAGGGGGGAGAGCAGGAACCAAGGGGAATATGGGAGGGATCGAAGGCAGCAGGGAGCGAGGAGTCCTCGGGAGGGGCGAGGCGGGGCGGGGGGGAGGGAGCGAGGAAGGGCGGCCGGAGCGAGGGGAGGAGTAGGGGGAGGAAAAGGAGGAGGAGGAGGAGGAGGAGGAGGAGGAGGAGGAGGAGAAGGAGGAGGAGGAAATAATCATAATCATCTCACAAGAGCGATTGTATGTGAGCTTGTCGAATCAGCCTGAAGGGGGAAATAATTGCACTGGGGCTCATGCGCTCAGAGACGCGCGACTGCGTTGGGGGGTGACGCGAGCTAGGCCCACCGACGACAGTGCACGCAAGCCATGAATCAGCACGAAACATGAAGGGCCGCGAACGCCGTCCACTGATACACTGAGCACAAGTGCACGCACGAGACTGATTACTGATAAAGAAAAGAGATGCGACTGTTCAAGTCGGCGTCGAGCTTATTGAAACCGTCTCGAAAATGCACGCCATCATTCACGCTGAGCGGCGGAGGAGAGGGAGGAGGAGGACGAGGACGAGGACGAGGCCAGTCGCGCGGCTGGCGGCGGCGAGGGCCTGGAACATCAACAGCTGGATCGGGGTTCAGGCCTGAACGTCGAGCTCGTCGATGGCTGTCTGGATCCTGCGTTCGAGATCTCCTGGTGGCGCCACCCCCTCGGTATTCATTGCTTTCGAACGAATCCAAAGTGGTACGATGATTTGCTGGAAGCAGATGTCGTTGTCGCTGTTGGCCACCACGTTCGCCTCGAGGTGCTTGAGCTTGCTGTCGTATGTCTTGCAGCAGCGTGCGTGACGAACTTCTTTCATCAGCGTGTGAAGGTATGCCTTCCAGTCCGTCGACCCGTTCTTCTTCTTCTTGGCGATGTAGGCGTCGAGGTTCGACGCTCGTGGTGGATCGAGGTCCTTCTCGGCGAGCTCTTCTTGGCTACCACGAGTCAGGCGTTCTAGACGTGAACGTGAGGGCGAACGAGAGCTGCGATCTTTTGTTGCTTCAAATATGTCCCAACAATATTGGCCGCGTCCGCGTAGCTCCCGGTAGTGCGAAGTGCTCGGAACTCTCGCTCACCTGCTAGTTTTCCCATATGATTGCCCTGCACATCCTTGACAACATAGCGGTACTGAGGGTCAGCTTGGCGATGAGAAAAACGAGTGCTGTGAGGTCGTGCTGATTTTGGCCCCGGCGGCGCTTTATTTGTGGCGGACGAGACGAGCCCGCTGAGACGAGACGGCGCTGCCTCAGCCGCACGGCTAAATATGGAAGTAGATGTAGTGAAATCGAGGCGTCCTGGACCAGACAAATGCTGAAAGCGGATATGATGGATGTTGACGCAAATGTCATCGCACGCGTCGGTTTTGTCATATCGTTTGCAAATCGGGCATGTGTACGTCGTGTCGGGGACGATGGGGGGCGACGGAAGATATTTTTGGCCAACTTTACATCTGCCGTAGTGCCAGCTTCTGCGTGCATGATTGTGCGATATTTCTCGTGTAGAGAAATGTGTAAGAGCACAAGGGACATACAACCGCAAGTACCATGGAGCCTAGCGTAATCATACCATGGCGGATCCCAATGGGGATCTCGGCCGCTCGATTCTGCCAACGCGGGGCGGCGGCTGCCCAGCCGCGTCCGCCTGCACCCCGCAAGGCCCCCAGGCCATCAGCAGCGGGGGAGGGCGCCAGGGAGGACGGCGGGGGAAGGAGGGATCGAGGGAGGAACGAGGGAGGGAAGGAGTGAAGAGGGATGGATGGAGCGAAAGGGCGAGGAGGGCGCGCGCGCGCGCGCGCGGGCCAAAGGGACGCAGGCGAGGCGAGGGACGCGGGCAACAGTTACATAACGGGCCAAAGTTGTGCGAGAACGTCTGGCAAAGAGGTCGGGAGGGAAGGAAGAAGGAAGGAGGGTTTTGTATGCGCCACCGTGCCGTCTGATAGGTTTTCTGCATTCGGCGATGGACAGCCCCCTTTGGTAAAACGCGGTTTCGTGAAAACGACCTCGGGCCCAAACCTGGCGGGCGCAGGCCTGGAAAATGACGGCCACGGCGCACTCTCGAGAACTGAAAGCGGACAATTCACTGATCGACGTGTCAGGGTGGGGGCTCTGTCCATCTCCGATGTACTCTTCCAAAGGCCCCCCCCCCTTCCGCCGCATCCCCTCCCGTGCACCAAACCCCCGCTGCCAACAGGTTCGCACGCAGCAGGGCTGAACCTAAACGGTGTTTGTCGTTTTCGTTTTGTTCTCGTTTTCCGTGGTTTCGTCTTCAATCCGCCTCTACCGCAAAACGAAGTCGAGACGAAAACGGCCCGCGAAATTGCAAAAATACCGTTGAGGTCCACCCCCCGGGCACGCAGCTCGCAGCCCCCCGGGGACGGCGAGGAGGCAGGGCACCAGGCAGGCGGGAGGCAAAGGTAGAAGGCAGACAAGAGGCAGGGTGGCAGGCCGGCAAGACAGGGGGCCAGGAAGAGGGAGGCGGGAGGAAGAGGTCGCGACCGCAGTGCTCCATTCAAACCGGGAAGCCACTGCAGGAGGGCTGGGAATCACAAAACCTACATGTTTTAATTGATAAGCGTCAGCCTCCCAAGAGGCCGCCCGGATGCCTCCTAGAGCTGACTTTCGGGCTCGTCTGGGCTTTTCATCAGCATGCTGATTCCGACGCCGTTTTTCTCCGCGCTCCGGGATCCATCGCCAAAATTGTGCTCCAAAACGACACCACACCTACCCAGATCCCGGCCGATCCGCGAATCGGGTACGTCTTCGTCATCGTCGTCATCGCTGTCGGCGTCTTGGTCGCGCCTGGTCGCCGCCAAGGACCGCCGCGGAGCACACCCCGGGCACGGCGCCCACGGCCGCCTCGATGGCCTCCAGGTCTACCCAGGCGCCTGCCGGCGGGTACCACAACAGAGACACACACACACACACACAAACACGCCTTGCACCAGACGGCGCGCCAGCAGGGTGAAGCAGAGCGCCGCGTCGGGCTGCGGCGCCACCTGGTGATCTTCGGGCGGCGTGATCTCACCACCATCTCTCACGACGCTGCCGCTACGCACGCTTGGTTGGTCAAAGTCCGCCGGCCGCCTGCGGCGGGCGACACCACAGCCAGGCTGCGTGTGTGTGTGTGTGTGTCTGTGTGTGATTGTGTGCGCTTGGGGTGTGTGTGTTTGTGTGTGAATGTGTGTGAGTGTGTGTGCGATGTGCGTGTACATGCGTGCGTGCGTGCGTGCGTGTGTGTGTGTTTGTGTTTGTGTTTGTGTGCGTGTGCGTGTGGGTGTGCGTGCGTGCGTGCGTGTGTGTGTGAATATGTGTATGTATGTGTGTGTATGAACTGTGTATGTGCGTGAGCGCTGTCGGCGACCTTCTCACGGGAACCCGCAAAACATTGCGTGTGTGTGTGTGTGCCAACTCCAAACAACACCTCGTGGCTCCGCGTCACGTCGCCGGGAGGCCTGTGCTGCCCAGCGAGGCAGTGGCACTGGTTTTGAGCGAGTCTTCGCTAGGAGAAGACCAAAACTTTCTAAATCGCTTCGTCGATGGCACTGGCACGGTCACAGACCGGCACAGCTGGAAGAAGTAAGCCTAAAAGTGAGGTCCAGGATCGGGTCCCGATAGTCCACGGCGGCAATGCTTTCTGCTCAGGATGTCAGATGTTGGGGCACGCAGTGGCTGGGAACACCGCCAGCTCGGGGGAGGGCATGGCCGTGCCCCCACCAGGCCCACCAGTGTAGAATCGCTGATGCATGAAGATGGTGTTCGGTGATATGTTGTGTTGTTGCCTTGGCCAGCAGAGGCCTTCAGATGGCCCCATAGGGCCCCGACATGGCCCTAACAGGAGGCCAAAACAGCCCAAGCTGGCCCCACGATAGCCCGAACTGGCCTTGCCAGCACTGCGGCCCAAAGGCCATCGACAACACCAATGCCCACGTGAACACCACTCACATGCAACCACTCACTTTGGCAGCACAATGGCAACCTACATCCACCAGCAGTGCAAGTAATTCTACACAGTGATGTTGTCGCGCCAACGAAAAGCAGCGTCATGAAAGAGCAAGCACACAGAGCATACGCAACTGGAAACACAATTTAACAAATCCAAGCCAGTGCGAGCCATTGGCAACACGTTGCATTTGAAGCTGGTGGAAGGACGTGATAACGTGTGCGTGCGTAAGGTATCATGTGGAACTTGGTGATGACACAAGGCGCCTTCCAAACAACAACGCGAGGGTAACGGGGAAAGTCAGGGCTGACGCTACTCTGGAACCAAACATATGCCACGGACGCTCCCACGTGCCACAACAAAACTCAACAAATATGAAATGCAGTATCCGGAGTCCCGCTAAGATCAACATCAGGATGTGGGCGAGTCGGTCCACATCCGTCGTTTACTATCGTATGCGGTCTTGGCGCAAGTGGTACAGCATAACATCTCAGCCAAAGAGGCCCCTTACCCAAACCCCTCCCCGAGCGTCTGAATCAATATGGTCCCCACGATGGCGCAAGACAACCACCCGATTTGGATCTCGGTATGTGCCCAAGAGGCCACAATGGCTTCGACGTCACACTCGAATCTCACAAGGATGCCCCCGTAAGACAAAAAGCAGTATTTGTTTCGCCTTCGCGTCATTTCGGCCTCCAATGGCCCCAGAAGGCATCAAGCAGGGCTCAAGAAGGGAGAACCCCTTCCCCGTTCTTTTGCAGACGGCTTCAAGAACGGCCCACGATGTGCCCGGAGGGTTCCCATAAGCATCCCGAGATAGCCCCAAGTATGCCCCCAATGCTCACCAAAGAGCCCAAAGGAAGCCCCAAGATGGCCCCAAGGGGCAGCAGCGGACCCCAAGTTGCCAGCTTCTGAAGAGCTGCGTATGCTGACCCCTGTGTTGGAGTCCCGGCTTTGTCCAAGAGCTCCTCCAATCGCAACCACGCTTCTGCATGGGACGGCGGGCCTTGGGGCCCGAGCAGAATTTGCTAGTGTTGCGAGTGCTGAATTAAGCCGCTGACAGCCCGTACTCATGATACCAATGATACTTAGCTTCGCTGGTTGGCCAACAACGAACCACAAGCTGCCTTTCGCTATGGGTAAACCATGGCTTATTCCGAATGAGTTGTTCGCCACCTTCTACTTCGCTGGCTTCGAACTGTTTGGCTTAGGGCGCTTAGCTAGCTGCTTTGTTTCGCTCGCCCCTGGCAGCCGGTTCGCTGCGAGTACATCAATAACTATTCGCTTCGCTGGCGTAAGAGTATTCGGCTAACAATCTTTCGATGCTTGTGCCACTCGTTGATACCTCAACACTATGCTCGTACGGAGTGCATGGGCACTTCTCCAAGAGCTTGACGTACCGATCAAAACTCCCTCCACCACCGAATGCATGCGTTGACGCTAAGGGCACACATGTACTTGTTAATTGCGAACACTTGGCTGACTCTTCGTGTTGCCGCTTCGTAGCTAGGCTACCTCTCAACAAATAGTCCATCTCTGCTGTCGTCTAGTACCTGAGAACGTGTATGTCGCACGGTACTTGTATTTACAGAACCATGGATGCACACAGAAATATATTCAAATAAGAATACGATGTCCAGGATGTCCGCTTCGAAGTCTCAATGATATTCCCTGCGGTCGGATTCCCTGCATAATCCTCAATTATATGTTCTCTCTCTCTCTCTCACTTCTTCTCTCCCTCTCACACACGCACAGCATATTTTCCTCTCTTTCTTCCCCTTTCTGCTTTTCTCATGAGCAGTCCTCCTTGCTACATTTCGAAAGGCGCCTCCGCGCTTGGCCAAAGCACCAGCGCGGCCACAATAGACGAACCCACCTCGGCGTCCAGCAATCCGCAAACTTGGCATCACGGTTGACAAGAGGCACGATCATGCACACTTAGAGCAACTGCACCATGACTGACCCTTCAACCACGAAGTTGGCGCGATGCCTTCCCTGAAAATATGTCGTCATCACTGTCTCCACTTCGTCCTGTACCCGTATTGAATGGAGTCCTTCACCGCGGTGTCTCCCACAGGACCGCGGAATGACAGGCGGAGGGGGGCGGACGGAGAAGAATGGGAAAAGGGGCGCAGAAGCATGGGGCGGGGGGAAAGAGGGTGGAGGATACGTATCAAGGAGGAGGAGACGGAGGAGGGCGCAAAAGGGGGGGGGACGAGAGGAGGGATGGAGGAGGGGCACCTGGCAGTTTCCGAAGGCCGAACGCTCCCCTCAAGGACGGAAAGACTCTGAGGGGTCTGGGGAAATCAACAAGTTCCGATGCCGCTACTCTTCGGGCCTCTCCGGGGTGCGTACTGACCAGGACTTCGCGAAGAATCCAGCGGTGGCGACGACGGCCTCCAGGAAGGCTCCCAAAAACGGGAGAACGAACCAAGGGTAACTGAGCTCAAGCCTCCTGGGAGGCGAGGGTCGAAGCGGGGGGGGCCAGGCTCGACCAGGACGGCGGCTCGGAGGCGGAGGTTTCTGACCGCCCGCGCGCCGAAGTCGGGGGCCGAGGGGTGGGCCGAGCGGCGAGGGTCGGGCATCGCAGGGTGCCGAGATCGGACGGCGGTCGCGATGTCGAGGAAGAGGAGGGCCGCGCGGAGCAAAAAAAAAAAGTGTCAAGGGTTGCTGTCTTGTCGATGCGTTCGGCCTCCGAGGGCCCTCCCATCTCAGCCTCCACTTGCCCCAGTCTGGGGCAAAACTCGAGCGCGCACGGTCGATAGAGCGTTTTGCATGCGTGGCGCGTGCGTCACGCGGGTCGTTCATGCGTCGCGCACCGGCGGGGGTGCGTTGCGCGCGGGTCAGGTGCGTCGTGCGCGTGTCGCGCGTGTTTCGCGCGTGTCGCCCGTGCGTAAATCGGGTCGTTTGTGCGTCACGCGCAGATCGCGCGCGAATCGCTCAAAGGGCGCCGTGGCTATTTGACGGCATGGAAACTGCACGGTTCAGTTGCGAAACAACTCACGAATGCGCGCGGCGCAGACGAAAAAAACGTGCACGCGAAAACTACGAAATCGAAGAGACCCGTAGAGGATATGGAGTTGCCCTGCGCACGGAGGATTCAACTGGAAACGCAAAGCGCGGCAGGATTAAACCTTTGCTTCATCAGCGCAGCAACTTGGCGACGTCTCACCCGCCGATGCGCTGGGGGAAGACAGAGCAAGGGAAGCGAGGTGGGAGAAGGAGTAGGGAAAATAAAACGGAGGGGCGAGGAGGGGGCAGGCGGGGACGGCGCAGCGGCGGCGGAAGCGAGGAGGGCGAGAGGGAGGTTCCACGAAGGTGGAAGACCAAGGCGGGGTAGAGTAGGGAGGGGGAAAGGACGGCAACCTGGCAAACAAAACAGCGAAACATTTCGGACACTGGTTAATCGCGCAGTGCGTTCGACAAGAAGGACGAGGGGGAGGGGCAGGAGGAGGGGCGCAAACCGGTATGAGAGGGCGGTGCGCGATGTGGCGGGGCGAAGAGGCGCCGCGTCGCGCGACGCGACGTGAGCCCCTCCAAAGCACGAAGCGCACAACCCCCCAATCAACGCGAGGCGCCCTCGTCCTCACTTACGGTTGGCGCTCCCCGAAACGACGCACAGGCGAATGATTTTGCGCGAGGGTGGGAAACATATCGCGTTGGTGAACCATCGACCTACACTGCGCCACGACGGCAAAAACGGCTGCTGTTGCACCAACGCTGGGAACCAATATGTCGCCATCAAATTCCGGAAGTCGCGCTATATATCGCCCGCACAACCAAGGAGGCCCGGATTAGGGACCAAAACTTAAGGGGCCACCTTACTGGGCGTTTTGCAAAATCGCCATCGGACTCATACACATCATCACCATCACCATCACCATCACCATCACCATCATCATGACCATGAACATCACCATCGTTATCATCACCATCACCATGAAACATCACCATCATCATCATCGTCATCATCATCATCATCATCATCAGCATCATCATCATCGTCATCGTCATCGTCATCGTCATCGTCATCGTCATCGTCATCATCATCATCATCATCATCATCATCATCATCATCATCATCATCATCATCATCATCATCATCGCCATCATCGCCATCGCCATCGCCATCATCATCATCATCATCATCATCATCATCATCAGCATCATCATCATCATCATCATCATCATCATCATCATCATCATCATCATGACCATCACCATCCTCATCATAATCATAATCACATCCACCAGCAGCACCGCCGCCATCAGCAGAACCATCAGTAGCATCAGCCAAAGAAAGGGAGACAGAGAGAGAGAGAGACAGAAAAAGAGAGAGAGAGAGAGAGAAAGAGAGAGAGAACGATCGACGTAGAGAGACACGGAGAGCGGCGGAACGCGCGATCCCCGAGCGGCGGAGGGGCGCCTGCCGGCAGGCTCCGGAGCCGGTCCGACGTGTGGAAGTGGAGCCGGCCTGCACGCCGCGGGGCCGGGAGGCTGGACCGAGGGGAGCAGGAGCGACGGCCTACCGCACCACCCAAAACCCAACCCGAAGACCCGAATTTCAGGTGGCGGGTGGTACGGGTTCCATCTGTGCTTGGTTCCTGTGCTCCCCGACGCCCCGACGGATCCCAGATTTGTCGACTGCACACGATCCATCGCTTCGTTGCGTGCATAACTGGCCCAAGGTGTCGCCAGCGTCTCGCTCCATTATGAAACCTTGGGGAGCTGCTTCGGGCCTCGTGAGCGGTGCTCTGGAGGCCCTGGGGGGTTCCTTGGCAATCCTGGGGACACCTTGGGCCAGGGACACATCTAGCAACAGCCGATCATATATAGATCCGCCGCCGTGGCTTCAGAATGCAGTCGAGCACCCCAAGGTTCATACTCATGTGAGTGCTAGCCAAGGAACAAGCAATGAAATAAACATAGGCTGTCGGACGTTCGCGCAGATTTCTTGCATCGTCGATGGACCCCGCTCCCTGGCGTGCGGGCCGCGCCAGAGGCGGCGCCTGAGGCACCGCCAAGGGAGCTCCAGCGCAGATCCACGAAATCCGCGGACCTCCGACAGGTGGTTTTCATGTCAGTTCTTGTTCCACGACGTAGAGGCTATAAGAACACCAGGGAGGCCCATCTTCCCAAAGAGCTGGACTGTACTGGGCCCAGGACCCCAAGGGCCGAACTATCCGGCCGCCGAGGGCCCCAAAAAGCTCTCAGGGCTATCCCGCCGCCGAGGAAAAGGCCCGAAGAAGCTCTCCTTGTTGGGACTCCAGGGGGGGCAAGGAGGGTTGGATGTCAGCTCGGACTCCCCACTGCCGATGGAAAGCTCGAGCGAGCGAAGGTCCGTCACGACGCCGCGCGAACAACAGCTCCAGGTAAGGGGCCGGGCGCCGCCCCGCTCGAAGCCCGTGGCGACCGCCGGCCCCGTGCGAACCCTTGAGACTTCTGACTGGACGACCTACCAGACCACCCCAGCCCAACCCGAAGACCCGAATTTCGGGTTGGGGGGGGCACGGGTTCCATGCGTGCTTTCTCGGTGCTCCCCGAACCCCCCCCCCACCAGAAATAGGGGGGCAAATCGGGGCCTTCGGGTTGGGTCGGGGTGGTCTGCTGGGCGGTGCCTGGGGGGGGGGGGGGGGGGGCAGGGGCTCGCGCCCGTGGCCGCTCCGCCCGCCTCTGGACGGGCCCCCCACGCTGGAAGCCGCGCTGGGCCCGTCGATCCGCCGACCCCAGACGCGCTGGAGGGGCACAAAAACTGGACACAGTGGAGACCCCTGCCAAGAAACACCCTGCTTGCCTCCACGGTGCCCTGGGTTTCTTGGCTTTCGATGGTTCTGCCACGGACAGCGCGACGTTCCCACACCCAAACTCGACGGACGTCCTGGGGTCTTAGGGTTGGGTTTCTTGTGGAAGGTTTCTTGTGGACGGACCTCCACTGTAAGCGTAAACTTTTGGATGCCCGCGCGGATTTCTCGGATCCGCGCCGGAACCCCTCCCCGGCGCGCGGAGCGCGACAGGGGCGACACGGGAGGCTCCGCCAGAGCGCTGCAGCGCAGATCCAAGAAATCCGCGAGGAACGCAACAACAAATGTTTATGCCAGATTTTCTCCTTAGATGCGCGCGCCATCGTGCTCCTAGTTGCCCGGGTCATGCGCCGAGCGACCCTCGGGGTTTCTTAAACAGGGGTTTGGCTAAATGGGGGCTTCAGCTTTTCTATATGCATCCGTTTACTGTACCCCCGCCTACGGCGCCCAGGGCCCCGTAAAAAAGGGCACAGCCAAACGTGGAAATCGGCATTCCCCGTACACCCGTTTGCTGTGCCCCTGTCTCTGGCGCCCTGAGACCCTGAAAACCTCCCTCGCCGGACGCCCCCGCCCTGTGGACCACCGTGTCTCGCCCTCATCGACCCCGCAAGCCGCCGACTCCAGAGGCGCGCGCGATGCCACGCCTACCCGAATCACCTGCCGCTGACCTCCTCGCCTGCCGGACTTTTACGAGAGAGGGCCGTTGCATCCCAACCCAACGCCATGTGCTTTTAGGGGCGCCGCCATCGTGAAAGCACAACCGACCATGCGATTCACCAACGGCACTGGGCAAAGAAACGCCCATGGCTTTGTTGGGGTCGGCGGAAGAGGCGGCAGCCCGTGGATATCGGCGGTCGGGGGGGAAGATCGAAGTGAAACGGAGACCCACACAGGGAACTCGGTTTCGATTTCGTGTTCGTGTCGTGCGTGCGGGCGAGTTGAGGCGAAGCTACGCAAGCGGGAGGAGTGATCTCGCCGTTGCCCAAGGAAATTGGCCCCCCTGGTTCGCAAATTTCGGGCCTGGTGTTGTCCCGCGGTTGTCGCGTGGTTGTCCCGATTGTTGTCACGATGATGCTTGTCCCGATGGTTGTCGTCCCGATGGTTTCCCGATGTTTTTTTCTCCAAGTTTAATCCCTATGCCGAAATCACAAGCCACTGCTGACGGCCACTGCGCCGGCCTCAAGCCCGCGCCCAGGCCGGCGACGCCTCGCAGAAGCGGAGGCGCTCCTCCTCTGGGGACAGCGCGGGGAGGCAGGCGTGGACCATGGCCGCTGCCCGGCGCCAGATGGCCGCGCCGATGGCCGCCTCGGCCCGGCGCAGCAGCGGCCGGTGGCAGCGCAGCCCGCGGCGCCGCGCGGCCCGCGTCGCCAGCGTCCGGAGCGCCGCCTGCGCCTCCGGGCGGGCGCGGCCGTAGGCGGACCAGACGATCAACACGCACGTGATGCCCGCCGCCGCCAGCTCCGCGAGGTGGCTGCCGTAGTCGTCGAGCTTGCGGGCGCGCATGGCCTCGCAGCAGTCCTCGCCAGCGCCTTGAGCCTCCGGGCTGCGCACGCCAACATCCAGAGCCGCCAGACGACCCACGAGGGCCGCGCTGGTCAGGACATCTGCAGGGCGGAACAATGATGCTGACGGCATCAGCCCGGGAGATTCGGCTTCGGCGCCGGGGTCGGCCAGGTGCGCCAGCGCCAAAACGTGGTCGCGAACCTCGTAATGGCCTCGCGTGGCCTCTGGGGTGGCGCACTGGAGAGCGTGGGAGCGCGCCCGGTCGAGCGTCCCTGCGCTGCACCGCGGGCGCGGCATCTCGACGTCGATGGCGGGGGCGCCAACCCGCACGCGCGCCGCGGCGAGGTACTCCCCATGCCCGAGGGTCGGGCCGTGCGCCGGATTGAGAGCCCAGAGCCAATCGTGGCCCACGGAAGGGCCCCGGAGCTCCCGCAAGCGGCGGCAATCGACATCGCGGCCAGCCGCGGCGAGGTCGGCAGAGAGGCTGTCGGCCGCGACGCCGTCGGCCACGGCGCACAGGCGAGACTGCAGACGGCCGTCCGGGGCCCGCTCGGGGTCCTCCGCGCCGGCTGGCAGGACGAGGCCGTCCCCGGCCAGCAGCGCGCCCTCCGCGCGGCCCCTTGGGCGTTCGCCGCCCGCGGCCCAGTCGTCGACCGCGGCGTGGGCCTCCTCCGCGGCAGCCGGGGGCAGCCTCGCCTTGAAGGCCTGCAGAGCGGAGGCGGCCTGCGTGTCGAAGCGCTCCAACACAGGGATCCCTTCGAATCCCGCCGCGGCGAGGGCCTCGTGCAAGCTGGCCACGTGCGCCCGCGACTCCACGCGGGAAGCGAAGAAGGCTGGCAGGGCCACGTCGCTGGCCCTGCGAAGGCCGAGCCCTCCCTCGCGGGCGCCCACGGAACACTGGGCCAACGACGCCTCGTCGAGCGGCCCGCCGTGCAGGCGCGTCGTTGCGCGGCGGAGCATGCCGCTGTTGCGAGCCAGCGCCTCCTCGCTGAGGGTCGGACCAGCTGCGCGGAGCAAATGGACCGCCTTGCAGACGTCTGCGCAGCGCCGCATCAGCACGAGCTCGGCGGACGTGTCCTCCAGCAGGCCCAGCGCGTCGTGCACGGCCGCAACCTTGTCCGCTGCTGCGAGGAACCGGTCGCTGACCGCGCCGCCGCCGAAATCGACGCCAAGCACGTGGGGGTCTGGCCCGTCTGCCGGGGGGGCCACCGACGCCAGGGCGTAGTCCGTGGCCCAGCGAGGGCGCGCCGCGGCGGCGACGCCCGGCGGCGCGATGACCGCCACGACCGACTTTGCGCGTTCTCCTCGGCCACGCGCCGCCCCGGCAACGGCGGCCTCGGCGTCGAACGCCCGCAGCCACGGGTCCACGCTGGAGCTGCGGGTGGCGATCTGGCCGTCGTCCATGAACCACACGTCGGCGAACTGCGCGCCCCCCTGGGCGCGGGCGCGGGCCAGGGCCCACGCGAGGGCCAAGGCGCGCAGCAGCGGCCCAAGCGGGTCGCCCTGCTCGGCGCCGCGGTCCACGAGCAGCGACTGACCGGACGGCAAAATCACAGTAGAAGGCTCGCGATGCATCCACGAAGTCCAAGGCAGAAGAGCAGGGAGCTCCTCGGCGACGGCGGCGCGGATGTACGACCACTCCTAGGAAGGAAACGCATTTTTCAGGTCCACGTCGATTACAGCCAACGGGTCGCCGTCCTGGTGGCCGCAACCCTCCTCCAGGAGCTCCTCCAACACAATGCGCCAATGGGCGAGGGCGTCTGTGCCCGCCGGGGCGCCGACCCCGAACTGCCGCGCAGCTAAGCACCGCGCCTGGATGGTCTCCCGGTGCGCGTGGATCAGCTTCCCTGAGGATCTGCAGATCCCCTTTGGGGATCTACAGTTTCTGGCTTCATCATCAGATCCCTCTTCATGAACAAGATATATAGTAGATCCCGTTATCTTGATATCATGTACTTAGTGTTACCACTGATTCCTAAAAATGTACATGTTCACCGTCAGTTAGCATTTTCAGAGGATGTCTCGAGCGAAACGTGCACGCACCTTCTGAACCGTGGAACTTTCGATGCAGATATGGTTTTTGTATTGGCAAGGATAGCAGTCCACAACATATCATGATCGCGCGAATCTGCACTGCAGACCTGAGCCTCACAGTCTCGTCGGCCTTATACACCGACTTGTTGCTTCACACGTTTGCCAGCAATTGCGTCCGTTAACAGGCATATAGCCATGTGCGGCGTGGGCCCCGCGGCAACACTCAGCAACGCAGCCGCAATGCCACTGGCGAGCGCGATTGTTTCGGGCAGGGGCGCGGGCCGCGACGGGCCAACGGGGCCGAGGGCCACGGGCCGACGGGGCCATGGGGCCGCGTGCCACGGGGGAGCAGGGAAGAGGGGAGAGGGGGAAGAATGGGGAGAAGGAGAAATGTGTGTGTTTTTTTTTTTTCACAATCATCGTGCACGCACGCGGCGTTGCGTTGCGCGGTTTCTCCCCGTTGGCATTCCGTGAAAAGACAGCCGTGTAAGATTGTCGCAACGAATGCGGAAACATTGAGTTGTTAACGTGCAAGCGCGCCCCGATCTCACACTCCTGTCCCGCGTCGTCTCGTCTATCTTTCTGCTCGTCCCCTGCGCTATCCGATGCTCATCTTACACGCCCCTCCCCCTGCGCTACATAATCATTCGCAAAATCATGCGCGCGTGATTTTGCGAATGAATTCGCTGAGGAAGGGGCGCTTAGGACTCGCGTCGAACAGCGCCGCCGAGGGAGGGGAGGAGGGAGGAGGGTCGGCCCCGAGCGTCACCGATCGCGACTCCATGTGCGAGGTCCAGTCCGAGGCCACCAGCCAGCCGCGGGAGCACGGGGCATTGCGCAGAGAGGATCGAGAAGAGGATTGTGATGAGGAGGAGGTGGACGAGGAGGATGAGGATAATGAGGATGAGGCGCAGGAGGAGGAGGAGGAGGACGAGGAGGAGGAGGTGGAGGAGGAGGGGGGAAGAGGATGGGGAGGCGGTGAAACTGGGCGGAGTCGGCCCAGATGCAAGCATCAAAACATGCATTACTCACAATTCATTGCCTAGCCAACGATCTGCAGCTCTGCGTCCAGTCACACTTGTGTTCAAGCTCATGTATTGACGTGCCCTGCCGACCATGCATTGTTAGTGTGTGATATGTGTACATGCGTGCATGCGCATATTTGGATGTACGCATACACATATGCGCGTGCACATCCGTGTGTTTATATGCGCGCTCATGCTCTTTCAGACGCAGGCTGCATCTCGTGCGGCTTGGGCCATGCTGCCCCATGCAATGCCAGCGACCGCCCTAGTGAACTCACCTGGGTATGCTTGCGAGGGCTTCTGCGATTTACCCCCTTTGACCCATTCCTTATCAGTTCCCCGGCCGCTGCGTCGGGCCGAGCCAGGGCGTTTCTTGGTCCTAAAAGTAAGTGTACCCCTGTCTTTGCCGAGCCTTTTGTATGATGAAGGGCGGCACCGAACAAGATGATCCATATGTTGCAGTGTCCCCCATATCTCCAAAGGTTTCAGCGTGTCCGCGCCAAATCCACCTAAATTGGTGATCGTGCGCTTGGCTTCGCACTTGAAAATAGAATCAGTCACGTAGACGATATGAAAGAACAGGCTGTTGAGCGGCTGCTCGACGACCCAGTGCACGCGCCTGGTCTTGGCGAACACCATGAGAAACGACCTGGGGGGCCACATCATAAACAAACAAAACAGGAATGAGGGTGGATACAATGACAACGAGAACGAGGAGGGCGAGGACGAAGAGGAGGAGGAGGAGGAATGAGGATGAGGGGGAGGACGAGGAAGATGAGGAGGAGGAGGGGAAGGAGCACGTAGAGGAGGAGGGTGAGGGGGGGAGGAAAAGGGGGATGCGGATCGGAGTGGATTAAATTTACGCCGCGCGAGTGGCGTTGAGATATCGACATTGCTGGGGCGGAGGGGGGCGGTTAGCTGAGTTATGTTGTGGGGGAGCTCGCCCATTCGACCCCGTCGGCCACATTTACATAACTGTTGTTTCTCGAAGCCCACCCCCTTGCTCTCAGTCGCATTCCGAGCTAGCCCCCCCTGCCTGAGCCCCCCGCCCAGACGGTGCACCGAGAATCATTCGCAACATCATTTGCAAATGATTTTGCGAATGAAACCTGGCCCAGTTGGTTAACCACACGAGTTGGATCAGCTAACTTGCTGCCCCCCAGGCGACACGAGAGCTGCCAAGTAGTTGGCGTCCTCGACGTCCGTGCGGGTGTCGTCCCCCCAGGGGTCATCCCGGCTGCGGCGCGCATGATGCCTGCACATATCTATCCACGTTGAACATTCTGGCGACATCCACAAAAGTCCAGTGGGCACGATGCAAGCGGCGAGATAGAAACAGTAAAGCGTCCCAATCATGGTTGTTGCATCCATCCAGGGTTGATACAATTTGTCTGCGGCGTAGGCTGCAAGGTCAAGATAGTTAATTATGTCCCTGGTGATGCCCGCCTGGCCCGAGAACAACTCAGCACATGCTATAGTTCGTGGGATACGAGGTGGGTCGTTCACCAAGCGGGCGGTTGCAGCTTCCAGCATGAGCAAGCCGTGCCCTGATCAGCAGCACGATGGGGCCCCAGCTTCATCCAATTGAATTGCAGTCGAAGTCGCCCATTGAAAAGCCAGTAGGTGGGGCTGCCGATGATCGACAGCCGCGGGTAGACCAGCAAGAACTGCAATCAACGTGTAGCGAAACCAGAAACAAGATCTAGCCATGGTTGCGCTGGTGCAGCCAAATGCTTGGGATCAACGAAATACGACTGCAGATCAATAAATTTGTGCACTCTCTTTGAAAAGGTCCTCCTATGACAGAAAACTGCGATGGCCCGTAAATTGCGATTGAGAGATTCGTCCAAATATGTGGAATAAAGCCTCGGGGCCCCGTGCCAGGGAATCCTGACCAGCGCAATAAACAATGCCTTTTGCTGTAGGTGATGCTCTGCTGCTACCCCCGTCGCTCTAAAAAACGATAGCGTTTTTTGCGTGCCCCCGCCCTCGCCCCAGCGCCCTGCCAGGCAGTACGTGCGCCGACTTCTATTTCGAAGCGCATCCAGCCGATTCGACGCCCTGGCACTTGCCGACCCGCCTTTCCCCTGACCAGCTTCCACTCTAATGGCCGCGGGGGCGCGGGGCGGGGGGCAGCAGGCAGAAGAGGCAGTGGGCGGGGGGCGGTGAGAGCGGAGGGCGAGGGAAAGAGGAGGAGTCCCCGTTTCTCCCGCCTTGGATCCTATGCACCATATGTGCTAGTAAATGGTGTTCCGGCGTGATCCTGATACCGCATGCGTCGCAGCACAATATGTGGTTGTCCAGGGCAACCCGTATCTTGAACATCTCATCGGGGGCGGGGACTGTACTCGAATTGCGCATCCCCGTAATCAATGCCATGAGCGCGTGACCCGCCCCGACCAATTCAGCCCCGAACACGTCGGCTCCACCGTGCAAAGAGAGAGAATGAAACGCAAACCGCAGCATAATCGATACCTCGGCGGCTTTGATAGACATCGACGATCCAGGGTGGTTCATCTTCTGAGAGCCGCCAAATCTTTGAAGAGCGAAGCCGATCAGGGGCCCCGAGAGAGCCCGTGACACCCTCGAACCCCGTGCCAGTTGTTTTCTTGTTTTGTTGTCTCTCTCTCTCTCTCTCTCTCTCTCTCTCTCTCTCTCTCTCTCTCTCTCTCTCTCTCTCTCTCTCTCTCTCTCCTCTCTCTCCTCTCTCCCTCCCCCCACTCCGTCGCCGAGATGCTGTGACTTTGCCATGGGAACTCAGGCGCACGAACAGAGATGCCATCCTATGCGCGACATGGTACGCCGCATTCCCCACCCACAAGCATCCCTTCCGAGATCCCCCCTGTCCCATCCCATCATGGCTGGCCTAGTTGGTCTTCGCTTGCTTGCTAGGGGGAGCGTCGCCAGTTGGCTCGGTCGAGCCGCTGGCCCCAAAATTCGGCCCCGCTTCAGTGCACACCTCGAGATCGGGATCAGGTTGGCTGGTCTCCTCGCCGCTCGAATCCTCTTGCGGCCGCTCACGCCGCCTCTCCGGCACGCGTTCGGGCATGCAGGATCAAACGATCATCTGGGTTCTGGTCCTGGCAGAACCCACGGCGCCGTGCAACCCGGAGGGTCGAGGAGGGAGGGCGAGGGCGGGCGGGGCGGCGTGCGTTGGAGGACGGGCAGGGCAGGATGGGAGGGAGGGGTCGGAGGTGGCGAGCGATTGAGTGCTCCCTTGGCTCCATGTACTCTGCCATTGAAGCCGCGAAGCTGACCGCTTTCGGCAGCGCGATCGGCGGGTCGGTCGAGGAACGAGCGTTGCTTGTAGCCGCGCCGCGAGCTTTCGGAGGCGGCCCGAACCTGGCTGGCTGGGGGCTGCCCCCAAGATTCCCCCTCCCCCCCACTGGGCGATGGCGGAGTCAATGGGGGTCGGGGCTAATGGGTGTTCGCCGATTTTAATGTGGACTGGTGGGTGCGCGCCTGCCGAATGTCATATCGATGCCCATTGCCTTGGCCATGTGTGATTGAACGCTCGAGCGGGCCTGGGCATGGATGCGTTCCATGACTTTTTTGTTCGTGATCTTCTGCTCGCCAGCCATTGCGGGCGGGCGATGCTCACAATTATCTTGTGCGCCGCTTGGTCAGTAACTCAACTGATAGACACAAACTGCGATGGGGGGCCAGCCCCCTTCCCCCCCCAACCGCACTGTTGCCAGGCGCCACGGCGCCCCCACGAGGGGCAATCGGATTCGAAACGGCCCGTCGGTAGCAATCAGATCAGGCTTCCGCCAGATTCTTGCGCCCCCACCTCATTCCTCCATCTCGCACTCCACCCCGCATCCTTCCTCCCTGGACCGTGTCCATCCGCTGGGGCGCTCGTCGATTGGGGGCTCTTCCGTCCTCATTTCTGCCCCTCTTCCTCGTCCTCATCCTTCTTCCTCATCCTCCTCCGCCACCTCTTCCTCATCCTCTCCCCACCAACTGGATAGTTGCGCAGAGCGTGGATGTGCGCGCATACAATTATACACACGCACGCACGCACGCACGCACGCACGCACACACACACACACACACACACACACACACACACACTCACACATGTACACACTATACATCTGAACACGCATAGAAACAAAGTGCGAAAGAGAGATTGAGCGCATGGCGCTCAATCAAACAAAAAAAACGTGCATCCTGAAAGTTGCACCCGTAGCGTTTGCCCAGCATTTTCAATGATAGAGCCCCCATGCGGCGTTCTGGAGGAACGTGGTTGTCGGGGCCATCCTGCCAGCGGTCCAGTTCGTTCTTCAGGAGCTGCATGCACACCGTCAGCCCCTGGTCCAACGCACCTGGAACATTCCAAACGTTGCGCAAGAGTATGCGCCAGAGGGCAGCGCTACACCACCTCATGGCGGGGCCGAGGAAAAGCGTGTGCAGCACGTCGATGGCCAACGAATTGGCTGGCGACGTATGCAGCTGAACGTCGAAGATCGGATTCCTGAAGTTCGAGGGGTCCATGACCTTCGGTTGTTCCGATGTATCACATCGAGCACGCCATAGAGTAACAGTACTCGGGAGCACCATTTTTTCGATGTCGGCAATGTCCATCAGCGATGCCGACGGGACGACTCGATCGCCCGCAATCAAGGCCACGCCGTTGACGTTGGTGTCGTGTACGATCAGCCTACCTCCAATCTTCTTCGGTGGTTTCAGCCATCTCAAAGACCGAAGCAGGTCTGTCCTTTGGGAGTGTGTCCCAAGACGCACCTCCACCTCGCAAGCTCGACACGCCTGGTCGTAGTGCGCGTGCTCCCGCAAAGCCCAAGGAGGCTGCTGATGCGACAGGTGCCCGGTGCAGTTGTCCCGTTCCTCCATAGTGGCCATGCAGAATTGACAAGGGTTCCACTTAGATGCCCACCCTGCCAGACCCAAGGAGTGGTTGTGCTCTCCCCAATCCCCCTTGATATACACCAATACTGATTTAAACGGCAACTGCTTGCCAGGGCCAAGCTCGTCTGGCATTGCCTCCCCACCGTCCAGGAAGCCAGGTACTCGTCCGTCCTGCATGGCTCTTAGTTGCCACCGCAGATTGCTGAAGAATGGGTACAAGGAGCAATTGCCGCGGCAACCGCAGTTGCAGAAGTCCAAACCTTTTATCGCCGACATGAAATGACGACGGCCTGTTAACAGATTAATGATCCAAAAGCCAAGCACCGTATCGCTCCGCCCAGCGGCCTGCGCCTGGCACTGGACGGCGTCCAAATAAAACGCCAGTGGTAGCGGTAGAGGGCTGTCGTTTGCAAGTGCTTCTACCACGGGCGGGTGCTCCTGGTAAGCTGGCACGCTGAGAACGTCGTCTGAAGCCTCTCGGCTCTGGAGCCTCCTAGATATAGACGGGTTGTTAGCCAACTCAGTTTCCAACGATCTCCACGCGAGTCTCATCGGGAAAGTGCGCTGTTCACGCACGTACAGCCTATCGGTCACAGGTGCTATCACGTCGACGAAGTCATCGTCCAAACACGGCAATACAGTGTCTAAATGTTCTTGGTAATTGCCTTCAGATTTTTGCGAGGGCGACACGGCGCATGTATGGGACGCGCCCCCTGGTACGCGGGCTTCCCGCGCGAAGTGGCATAAACTGCAAAAGTCTTTCGCCGATA